AAACATTTTTTAATAAAAAGTTGAAAAAATTTGTTTTTGAAAATTTAAAATTTTCTTTTAAATTTTGAGAAAAAAATTTTTTTTGAAAAAGTTTAGAAAAAATGTTTTTTTTAAAAAAAATGTTTAAAATTTTTTTTGAAAAATGTTAAAAAAAAATTTAAAAACTAAAAAAAAACATTTTTTTAAAAAAAAGTTGATAATTTAGAAAAAACATTTTTTGACAAATGTTTTGGAAGAACATTTTTTTGGACAATGTTTAGACATTTTTTTTGAAAATGTTAAAAAAAATTTTAAAAACTTTAAAAAAACATTTTTTTAAAAAAAAGTTGAAAAACATTTTTTTTTTATTTTCTTTTAAATTCTGAGAATTTTTTTTTTTAAATGTTTAAAAATTTTTTTGAAAAATGTTAAAAAAAATTTGAAAATCTTTAGAAAAAACATTTTTTTTTAAAAAAGTTGAAAAACTTTTTTTTTTAACATTTTCTTCTAAATTTTGAGAAAGATTTTTTTTTGAAAAAGTTTAGAAAAAATGTTTTTTTTTAAAAAAATGTTTAACAATTTTTCAATTTTTTTAAAGCATATGCACTGAAAACTAAAGAAACTAGAGATTAGTTCAACAGTTTATTAATTAATGAAGTAAATAACAAAGAACACTAATAAGATGAATATAAGATGAATATAACCTCAACAGTACAACATGTAGAAAAATATGAAATAACACAGTGAACTAGTTAATAGTCCTGAGTGTTTTTTTCAGAAATGTAACCCTTTGGAATAATGAAGATGCCTTAAAATGTAAACATTATCATTTTCTAGTTATGATGCTACATACGCCGTTAACATCATTGCGACACAATACAATACATTGTTATAAAAATTAGCTGCACTGAATACTGTGATCAAAAGTTTTTTGCAAACAACAAACAGCACACTCCTAATGGTCAATACGTACAACAGTAAACCCAACATATTAACATATAAACAAACAACAAAGCAAATAAAATAAATATAGAAAAGCATTTAACATCTTGAAGATCAGTCCCCAGCTTTTTTCAGCATTCATCATACGGCTGTTGCATTGCAGTTTTAGAAAAATATTTTCTGTCGGTGATCTCTTACCTTGAGTCCAGCACTGAGATTAAATCCATCTTTCGCCTCTGAGTTTAAAGGCATTGTGTCTTTTGGTAGACAAAATGAAAGAGGCGTTCGTAATTGTTATACTCCTCTTAGAATGTTGCTCGTACCGTGCCATGGCTGCAAAGAATTGATGCGAGTGGTTGCTGCTTTGGGTGTGAGTGATCTGTAAAAACAAACATAACAAAGACATAAATATTTATTTCAAAATAAATAAGAAGTCTTGTTTGTTGTCAGTTTTAACTTCGATGAGCTGAAGAGCTAATGTTAGGACTTAAATATCCACAGTACACTTTATTTTATAAAGAAAATTTATTAAAAGTATATTTTTCTTATTATTTAATCACATTGTGAACCCACTCTTCACATGAGCCAGTTGACCGTGTAGAGATGGACTGACCTCAACACCTTGCTGGAAAGTGAGAGTTGTGATGTAAGAGCCAGTGTGATTCATCCTCCTCAGATGGAGACACTTACTCACCAGAGGCATGTGTGGCTTTACATACACTGGAGTGTGTGTGTCACATGCCGCAAGCAGTTGTGTGGAAATAAGACATAGTACAGTCGTCGCAGGTCAAAGGTCGAAGAACGTGTTGTGAGATTTTCCGACTATTGTTGTCGCTGCTGTGTCTGCATTCAAGGAGCTTTTGGCATGATGTCACTTTATAAAAATAAAAACAACAATAATATCTATTATTATTATTATTATTATATTAGTATGTTAATATAGAGAACACTATTAGCCAAGAATAACAGGAACTCCAACAAGGAATTCTATTTCAATATGCATAACACACGCATAAAAAAAAATACAAAAGCTAAAATCACCAACACAAAAAGTTTGCATGTGTCGACAAGTTTGTAAAAACAATTAGGACAACTTTATAAGTATTATTAATTATCATTTATCAGAGAATAAGAAGGTTTTATGATAAAACCAGCCACAAAAATGGACTCTGCTTTGATACTGTGAATTTAACAGGGTTCTGAAGTTTACGTTGACAAAACATTAGGCCAAGCACTGCAGTACAGTGTTATTATTACACAGTGAGACTAAATCATATAAATATATGAAGTATTTACATTAAAACATAACAGGTTTTTCTACACTACGACAAATGTTGGTGAGTTTAATGAATTTTAAGGTGGTCTTAAAATTCAGCATCACTGTGTAATTCCGTTGGTTCACGGCGTTAACTCACAGCCCTACGACTAAACTGTCCAAACTGTTCTCAGAATCAGTCACAGGTTCTCACACGGAGACACAGACACACAAACATGTGCGTAACTCTGTGATGTCACAGCCTCTTATGTAACCCTCCTTGAACCCTGGTCGAGGGATCGAACAGATAAGGAGCCACAACCAGCAGCGGGAATAAAGTGGTAGCTGATCAGAGGGAGAATTTATGATGACCATAAACCTGAACAAACTGTGCTCTGACCCTCAGAGCTCCATTTCATTTCACGCAGACTATAATTCAGCTGTGGTAATAAAGCTCCGACTTTAGTCTCTCTGATTTAATGTAGTGGAAACACCATTAAATGACAAACCTATATATATATATATATATATATAGGCCTTTAGGTCTTCAACTTCCTAACTGTCTGAACCTAGTTTAAAGTCCAAAATTTATCATTTTTGTGGTGTCTGATTTTCTACATGTTTCTAATCAAATTAGAGCATTTTGAGAATTTTTTTTAGAATTTTTTTTTTCAGAAATTTTCAGTAAGATCCTAATTTCATGTCGTGTGACTCACGTTGTTAGAAAATTATGACATTTAAAAAAAAAAAAGTTTTTCAAAATTGTATGTTTTTTGCATGTTCTTATCAAATTAGAGCATTTTAAAATTTGTTTGTCAAATTTTTATTTTTCTGCATGTTTCTCGAAAACTAGAGCAAATGTCTGATTTTGAGTCAACTCAAACAGGTCAAGTTAAACTTTGACCTGCGTTAGATTTTAACTCATCACCTCTTAAAATCTTCAAAGGTTAATAATGCACACGTCTAATCAAACTGGAACAGAAAGCTGTCAATAATGTTGCAGCATTGCAAAAAGTTTAGATCTAACTCTATCAGAATTTTTATCCATGGCCAAAAGTTTTGAAAGGAACGTACTCATGTTTAGTCCATTGGCGAGGAGGAGCAGGAGGAGGAGGAGCAGCAGTAGGAGGAGCAGGAGGAGCAGTAGGAGCAGCAGCAGCAGTAGGAGGAGGAGGAGGAGCAGGAGGAGGAGCAGGAGCAGGAGGCGACCTGGTGAGAAAACAAAGAAAGAATTCTCAGGTTAAAAAAAAAAATCACAAAAAACAATTTGGCATTTAGTGTAAAAGAGTGGGGCCCAAAGCTTGGGGCGTGGCCTTCCAGAGGGCACAGAGCTCTGGTGGGGGGTGAGGACATACTAAAGCACATTAATAAAAATTTCAATATTTGTAAAATTGTTGAATGAGGTTGAGAAGTTTTATAGGAATGACTGTGTGCTGTGACAGGAACAGTACCAGCGAGACTCCCCTGAGGTGGAGGTAGTTTATATACGAAATCATAAAGTTACTCCACTCACTGGGTTGGAAAAACAAGGAGCATGAATCTCAGGGCAGGAACACTGAAGCATGAGCCCAACACGAACCACTTTTTGGGAAAAATAATGTGGGGAGAAATGGGAGAAATGTAGAGAAATAATCTCTGTATTTTTCATTTATACTTTTTTTGTTTTTTGTTTCATAGAGACAAGCACCGTAGCTGTGATGTCCAATAAAAATCTTATCATATCTTTGTCAATCGTTGGCATTTTACAAATGTAGCTACTTCCTAGCAGTCAGACCGGTGTGTGACATATTTTATCTGCAGCACAGCCATACAGCCTGCAGTGCTAAAACTAACTCAGAGAGAGCGACGGGCCGGGAAATCTGTGAGTCCACGGTTTGTCGACCGTGGTCATCTGAACTATGTCTAACGACAGGACAGTTCATGACAGTTAGCTCTACTTCAGAGCTGCGTTTCTACAGCGCTGCTAACGTCTGCTGCCGTTCCGTGTACTGTACGTCAGGCGGTTCCCACAGTCTGCGTGCCGAGACAGGTCCACAATCCACAGCTGTGACACCAGACACGTCCTCCTGCAACTGTACACCTCCGTGAACCTGCATTCTAGAGACGCTTCTCTAGTCATATCTTTTCTAAGTTTCCTCATGCAGTATTCTTCACACTCTATTTCAGCCTTTTTTACTTTGTTAAATTCAACCAAAGTCAAACAACCACACAACAAGTCCGACGACTTCTCTCCGCTTTGTTTAACTCCAGTATCTGTGTTTACACGTGGAGAGGGAACATGTCATGAACCTTCGCAGGGTTACATAACGTCGTCCCACTGAACGCAGCTGCTCAGCACAGATGTTTCCCATTCACTGTGGATTGAGTGGCAGCTGGTGTTGTTGTACTGCCTCTCCAGTCTGCTCCTGGCACGTAGTATCAGCCAATCAGATCGCACTATACAAATGAATTATTACAAGGACGCAGTAACTACTGTAGACTCCAACCCTTGTGCAGTTGTTCTCAACCTTTTTCCACTGATGTTCTGTGAAATATCTGATCATCTAACCCCCCCGCCACTCCCATATCCCCCTCCCAAACTTCCCCTCACATGGGTTAAGTTTTTCTGCTTGTATCTCAGTTTAATAAATCAAACATTGAGCAATTGTTGATGGTAGCAATGCTATAAACTCACGCACCCCCAAAGGTATGCATACCCCCATTTGAGAACCATTTAGTGCAATAGGGAAAGGGGTCAGAAAAGGTTAAATTCTCAATGAGTTTTTTTTTTTTTTTTTTTGTCCATCAATGTGCAGCTATTAACTGCAGCTATGACAGTTAGCGTCTTTGGCATTTCTGGCTACCAGCAGCTATGCTATTAGATACAGTATCTGCCATAGCTACCATTGCTACGTGCAGAAAACAACAGTCTCTCTTCGGAGCTAGACATAAATAACTGCCCAGTGGCCGTGGAGGAATATTTGAAGAAAACATGATCCGATTGGCTGCCTCTGACGCTGCCGTCTGCCGTGTAACATTTCTGAATTCTAGCTCTTGTACTTAGCTAAAGCAAACTGAAACCATGGATCCACAGTGTGCTCTGACAGAACTGGTTTACTTTGAGATTCATCGTGTGTCAGTTTACGTCTCCACGATGTCGAAGACATTTCCACTTTAAGCCGTTGGGACGAGTCTTTTCTACGAAAACACTTCGACGTAATAATCCAGAATCATCTCTAATCCCTGCTCTGATTCTTTACTCTCAGCTCAGTCCATCGTGGTGTTAAAAAGGTTTCAGTTCTACAGTTTACACAATCTCAGTAAATGTAACGAAACATCATTTATTCTATTCCTAAAGTGAGAGTTATGTATCAATAAAATCCACATCAAGGACTGACGTGGGGCGGAGGAATGTAAACTATGTCTGAGGGACAGAGTGAAGCGCCAGTTATTTTAGTCCTTACTAGAAGTAGGTTCTGTATCAACTCCCAGACAAGTTGTTATTTCATTAAATGGCGTCCAGACGTCGACGGTAGGTCACTGTTCCAGTTACGGTCAACAGGACGGC